ATCAGGAGAACGGGTGTCGGCAGTACATACACAAAAGAGACCCCCCGGCCTTATGCGGACAAGCCTGTAAAAACTGTTTACATCCGGAGTTTGCCCGTTTGCAGCGGGGCGGTTTAGCATGTCTATATACAGGCCTCTCTGCAACTTGTCTAAATCCGGTTCTTTGTCAAGTGTATCATGTCAGTAAAAGCGATAAGAAATCCAGTCGTGGGAACTTGGCGAGACTCTGTCTCTTGTGAAGACCGGATCTTGGACATTTTCTTCCTCAAGTTGCGTGCCGCCTGCCGTCTTGTGATTTCTGAGATGGTTCTTTTTCTTTCCTCCTGCTTTTCCCTTCTCTGCCTGTTACCCCGTAGTTGTTGGAAGAGCAGTCGATTAGGTGTGGGATGTGGTATGGAATGATTAAAGGATCTATGTCCATCTCTTCACATATATGCTTGTAAATGCCCAGGGCATATTCCAGAAAAAATATTAAATAAACTTGGGTATTCCTTTCCTCCTTGTCGTAATCTTAAGGAGATTTGAAATGTTCCCGGTTTGGATATATTGGATTTTGTGAACTTTTGGATCTCGTGAATTCTAGAAGATCACCAACCAAATTATGAACAGAAGCAAAGCGATAGTGCCCACTATTAGAAATGGCCCTGAAATCATATCATCCTCGACAGACAAGGCGAAGATCCTTTCCTCAATCTTTGCCTCAAACTCAGCGTTAGACGACAAAGGCTTCCCACGTCCCAGCGAGCACAATCTCAGTAATATACTCATTTCAGCAAGAGAAGTCTCTAGACTTATCAAAAGCCACGATCCCAAAAAAGCCACTGGCTCAGACAAAATTCCTGTGAATAAGAATATCAACCTAGAATTATCCCCGATTCTAGCAAAGTTATTTAACCACTGCTTGAAGCAGAAATATTTCCCAAGCATGTGGAAGGTGGCAAGCGTATGAAGTAGTAGTAGTAGTAGTTGTAAAAATAATAATAATAATAACCTGGACGTAAACTGTTGATGTTCTACCAAATCACTTTCTATACACATCCTTCTTAGTAACGTGCTTAATTTTTTAAATTTAAATGGCATTATTTTAATTGGAAATGACGTCTGAACTTTCCACTAGACAAACTGTATAAAATTTGTTAAGTACTTGACATTATGATCAGGTTCACTCCGGTGAGCAACTAATTGCATTGATTGTGTTGTTTTGTAAAATTTTCTCTTTTTGTGTTCATATAATCTTTAATAATTCCCCATGGTTCTGGTACATAAAAAATTCTTCGAGATTCTGGTATATAAAATGTATGTATCATTATGTTATATATATATATATATATATATATATATATATATATATATATATATAGGTAACGCATAGAACCACATTAGTCAACGGTAACCAATTATGTAATAATGCTGTGTTGCCCCCCAACAGTGGTAACCAAATATGTAACCCTGTCGTCGAGCCTAGAAAGCGGTAACCAATTATGTCACCCAATCGTCAGTCCTCGAGTTCCTTCAGATTGCCGCGGTTACCATTTAGCTGACTCTTCACGTGATTCGTTTTGTCGCTGGTATCGTGAGTGGCACGATTACAATCGACTTAGCTGGCGTTTGTCTGTTCATAATCATTTACCCCTTTGCCCCAACGTTTTTTGTTTTTTTTTTATCTCAGAGGTTGAGAAGAATGATGATGAAGCAATTTTTAAGTGAAGACGTTTCGACAATTTGGGAGCTACACAAAATACAAGAATCCTTTGGAATTTAAGAATTAACTCAGGTTAAAAATTTAACAACGATTTGGTTCAGTTTGTTGTATACAGCGATTTTAACCCTTCCCATTTGTTGTCATAATCAAATGACACTGGGATCCCATTTGGAGTCTGCAGCTTGTTTTAGTAGTAACTTAAATTCCTAAGTCCTCGTCTTCATGTCTGGTACCAATTTTTTGGTCAGGACGTCTCGGCGAACGATGCGTATTCTCTCTCTCTCTCTCTCTCTCTCTCTCTCTCTCTCTCTCTATCTATCTATCTATCTATCTCTTTTTCTCTTCTTCTTGTCTCTCCTGTTATTCTGTTAACTGTTTCTGGGTCCAAAATCTCCATCTTATATGGAGTCCTACGTCCAGCAGGGGTGGGGGTGAGGAGGGTCTAGGTTCGGTTGTCGTTTACCCTAAGTATCAACCTTTTCTAAATTTCCATATATAAAAATAAATAAGTGGTTTTCCAAATTTGGGGATGTCTAGCCCCCTTTTGAGAGTGCTTAGAGTGATCAAGATACCCCTTAACTCCTACTCTCTTTACACTTCGCTCGTACCATCGCTCTATAGAGGCGGTATTAATCCCTCTCTCTCTCTCCCCACTTGTCGTTCTTCTTCCTTCTCTTCCTCCCACTTCCCCAAACAGCCAACCTCAGCTCGGCTTCCTGGGCTAAACAAAGAATGTGATTCTATTTTGAATAGTATCACATATTAAAAGATAAAACAGGGATTCGGGTTTACTCAGAGAATATAGTTTTCCACAGGGAACCCTCTAACCAACCCAGAAGAGAGAATCCAACTTTTTTTTATTCCCCGTCTCGTTGAAAAAGTACACAGACTTGTCCGAAAATTCCGACTTTAAAATTTTTCTCTTCATATTTCAATTTAGTCAAAAAGCTAATATATAATAAATATCATCAATGTTACTGCCAATATTGTTATCATTTTTTGTTTTTTTCTTCCCTAAATTTACCTATTAAATCCCCCCCCCACACACACATGTATATATATATACATTAATAAATATACATTTGTTCTTCACCGTTTGGTAAAACTTTATGTTATATGGAAATACGAATTGCCGTAAGCTTGAATGTGCAGATGGTGTAATGGATAATGGCTAGTAAATGTTAATGGGATAGTCGAGTTCCAATTCCCATTCGGTGCTTTATATTCACTTAGAAAATGTATGAATCCATAGCTGCTCTCCCCAGCTATGGGTTAATCAAACCAAAATTTGCAGAATAGATAAGCCGCGAACTCCAAAGGTAGCTCGATATGGCCAAAAAAAGGGCCTGAACCTGTGCAGCAGATATGTTCTACTTTCCTGGAAAAAATGAGCCCCAATTAGATAATAGAAGTACATCGACGCAGTGGGCATCCAGGAGTGCGGCGTACCATATACTTATAAACAATTATTTCACAAAAAAGTACTTACAATCTAAAAATATTTCCTGGCGTCCTGCAGAGTGTTGATAAGCCGGAGAAAACGAATCCATCAATAAAGAAAATGAGTTTCACACACGTGGCAATCATCAGGAAGAAATTGAAAAGTTGTTATTGTAAAACGTTTACTATTAATATTTATAAGCTACTTTTAAGACAATGGAGCTATTTATTTCATTATGAAAAAATGTAATTTAATTACTTCTGTTATTTTAATTCAAGCACTATTTTATTATCACAGCTCTCTCTCTCTCTTTCTCTCTCTTTCTCTCTGCGCTATTTTTATAAATATATATTCTATACAGATATATATATATTTAAGAAATTAGTGTTTATATATCGCACACTGGTAAGAATATATAGAAAAAAGAATTTGAAAATGCGACAGGATTCTTTAAGAATATTTATTTAGAGTAACTTTGTCAGTTTCACAGTTCTATGATTTTCAAACGTTAAATTGTGATTGTGATTATTCCAAGATCTGTTTCGCATTTGATGCCAAAGAGATCATGGCAAAGCCACACAAATCTCCATCCCAATTTAACTTTTGAAAATCATAGAATAGTGAAACCGGTAAAGTTAATCTAAAAAATACTCTTAAATACTCCAGTTTTATATATATAATTTTTATATAATATATATATATATATATATATATATATATATATATATATATATATATATATATATAATTTTATATAATATATATATATATATATATATATATATATATATATATATATATATATAATATGTGTCTGACGATCGCTAAAGCGTGAAACCCAGGGTCACAAATTCACATCTATCCAACCAAATATGTTAGCTCTATCTCTGATATTGGGCGCTTTTAATAAGTATCATGTATATAATATATAAATAATTATATATATATATATTTATTTATATTTATATACACACACTTTTCACACACACACATATATATATATATATATATATATATATATATATATATATATATATATATATATATACTTGCGTGTGTGCAGGAGAGTTTGTGTGCGTGTGTGCTGATTTACAGCAGAAACATCCACCATGATGGTTCACTTTGACTGAAAAATGTCTTTGAACCGGGAAATTTTTTTTACATTCGAAACTAAAAATCGAACCCAGCACCATTTCCACTTTCCGTACGAGCACTCAACCCCCATCTGATCCCAAAATCGTCCCATTTAACGAAAGTCGCGCTACTTATATTGAGTGTACTGATGTTCGAAAAATTAAAAGAAATCCCGCAATGCGTCGTCTCAGAATTTTAAAGAAAATTCATTTAACCACTCGCCTTATGACCGCAATTGTTTTGCTTCAAATATGCAATGTTATTAAGACCATCACAAGCATGAAAACACTCGTGTCTTCTCATCTTTCAAGTTAGAGTAGGTATCAGTTTATAAAATCTGCTCGTAAAATTGACTATTTACGCCGTTTTGTTTGGAAACTGCGCAAATAGTGTGACCATCTTTGCAAATAAGCATGAATCTATTTCGATCAGTCTACTTGTTAGAACAGGAAAATGATTTCTGAAGATTTTGCTTTGAAAACTCTCATGGAGATCGTTATTCGTTGCTTAAAATGTTTATATGACAACTGAAATTATTCTAAGCCAATACAAAAAATATATACCAAATTTGATTGTCTACAGTCAATAATTTCACGAAATTACTTTTAAATCTCCATGATGATTGAAGTTCTTAGCCCATTAAGGCGTACTGCAGAACAATATTCGACCGTAGTTATTAATGGGTTATAAGTAATAAACAATAATGAATAAACCGCAATATTACGTTGAAACACCGGTTCACGTACGATTACCGAAGTTAAGCTACGTCGCGCCTGGTCAGTACTTTGATGGGTGACCACTTGGGAATACCAGGTACTGTAAGCCTGGATATTCGGGTGGTTTAATGGATAACAGATCGGAATTGTTAATCGAAAAGAACCGGATTCATATTCTCGTTAAGTTCATTATATTCACTTACGCGGAATTACCCTCGTGAAAGGTATGACTCCACTCTTCTCCCTCCATCTATGGGTCAATTAGCAAGACTTGCATCACTAAATCATTATTATCGCCTCCAAAAACGAGCAGTATAAAATTTGTCAATTACTGAACGAGCGGTAATTGACAAATTTTATACAGCTTGTCAAGTACTTAACAAATTTAATATTATAAAGTAGAAATATTGAGTTTACTGTATAAAAAATAACAATAAAATTAAGACGCATAATTTCCAAATAAAAAGAAATATTTAGATCTGACGTAAGCTAATATTTGATGGCGTTGACTTAAAACAAATTGCACCAATTTTCACCAAGTGTACGCCTAAAAGAAATTAAAATATACTATAAAGTAAAATATGTGTTAATAAAATATAGTCTTTAAATAGGATAAATCTACTAAGGCGTTAGTCTATTTGGATAACACAAAGCTGGTAGATCCAAAAGTAGGAAAAAATAAAAATAAATTTTGACATTGAGTCTCCATTCTTTTCTTCTCCATTCAAAAAAACACTAAAACAATATTCACTTCCGGTTGTGGTTTAGCATTGACGTGGGAGCAATGACACAGACATCTCAGTGCGAAATGAAAACGACAATAAAAAGGCTTCTTTCCTCGCTGTATATCATTTAAAAATAACATTTGAAATTTGATTAAGAAAAGGGAAAAACTTTCTTATAAAATAAACAAAATGTGTCCCTTTTTTCATAAGTGGATTTATTTTTAAGTTTGTTTAAATTGTTTTTTGTGCATATCTATCCAATGCATCAGCTGTTGCGTTTTTACACTTGCTTCAGCTGTCTGCTTCCTCTTCATTTTTTACGTGTCGTGTTCTTTCATGGTGTGGGTGATCATGGCTCTACACAACTTCCTATCCTTTGTAGCACTTAATAAAGTTTTTTCTTTTTATTTTATCTCCTAATCCCTGTTCTACCAAGCATTGACACAACCTCGTTAGTTACGTTATGCGTTCCTCTGTCACTCTTGACTTGAGTGTCAAATTTTCTAAGCTTTCTAAGAATTATACCCTAGAAATTTCAACTGTCTCTTACTTCATTTTGTTTGCACTTTCTTATTTTGTTGAGAGATAACGAATGAAGCTCGACTGAATTTAATTATCTTCGGATGAATTTAACGGCGTCAATGAAAGATAAGACAACGTTTATTCCTGGCTACAATGAGAAAGGCTGGATATACGGCTGGTTTAATGGTAACTTACATGTAACGAGAAATGAGAATACGTGGTCGGCTAAGAGCAGAAAAATATCGGTAAAAAACGACCTTTTCTCAGAAGTTGGGACGTGAAGTCAACCACCCCATTCCGTGGAACATTCTCAGTTACAGATACCTCATTAAGATGCCTTATGTATCACGAGGCACACAGTAGATGATACCAGTGTAACGTAAAAAGAAGAAAGAAAATCATAGTAAGTGAATGAAGCCTACAATTTCACTACGGTAGATTTTACAAGTTGACGAAGATGTTTAATGATTGAACCTCGTCATGGTTACTTTTGGTGACAGTTTTTCTTTCTAGCCATATTTACAAGAGAATGGCTCGCCCAAATGTTTATTCATCCATTCTCTTCTCTATCAACTATCATATCATTCCAGTGACAAGTATTTTTTTCATGATATTCGGCGATAGATTAGAAAGCGGGTAGAAGTAGGTTTATGCCTTTTTCAAAGTAAAAAGCATCATTCTTACCAAAAAGATTCAGCCCATATTTGAACTTGGGTGGACTCATCAAGAGATGGGTGATCATGACTCTCCACAATTTCCTATTCTCTGTAGCTGTTAGTAAGCGTTGTCATTTCGCTATCCTTCTTACTGCTATCCATTTGTATGAGCTCGCGAAGTACGTTACCCGCTGTTACCCTCTGCCTCTCTTGCTTTCAGTATGTCCTGTGAATATCAAACTCTCCAGGCTCTTTTCCCTCGTTATGTGTCTTAGAAACTTCAACTGTTCTGGTTATAAATATAAGCGTCCTTTGTGCTTCCATTTTCCTTAAAGGTTTCTCGTTTCTCAAACATTGTGCAGACCCACATCTCTGTTGCTTCGTCTCTTTCTCATTATCAGCATTCACTGCCGTATAGGATGATTGATACTACATAGCATTTCAGCACTCTTTTCTTTCTTTCTAAAGAAATTTTCCTGTTTCTTCATACTTTGCTTTTGAAAGACATTTTTCCGTTATTCCATTACCCCTTCGGATTTCGGTGTCACATTTTCTATCATCTGTTAAAATATTTCCCATATAAATCTTTGTACTTGCTTTAGTCTGGAATTCCCAGTTAGGAGCTCCTATCTTGGGTTGGCTTACGGTCAAATCACGCTGAAACACCTGTTCTCGTACGATCACCGAAGTTAAGCAGCGTAGAGCCAGGTCAGTACTTAGATGGGGACCGCTTTGGAACACCTGGTACTGTAAGCCCCCAAAGTCCAACCCTTACCTCACAGTCGGTGGGGGGTGTAAACGGTAGTGTCAGAGCTATGCCGCCCGGAACTTCGTTCCTGGTAAGGCCACCCAAGGCGGACAGGTCTGACACACGCCGGCTAACAAGGGCTCTGGTGAAAATCCAAGGAGCGTCTGCATCGGTAACCGGCGGCTTCTGGTCGTTCCTGTCTCTGCGTCTGTGGGAACCCCGCGGCAAGCAAGAACGTTATCCGAGTAGGCCTGGGTACCCTACTTCTGTAATTTATCCCAAGAATTTTCTTCTCATAACAGGAAGAAGCCGGGTCAATCCGCCCAGGGTGAATGCCGCATCAGTAGTCAGTACAGTACAGTATCTTGAGTTGGTCCTTTTGCTGACAACAATACATTCTGAGAAGAGAGAGAATAAAGTTTTAAAATAGACAACACTTGTTTTAAGGAAAATGACGACAAGACGGATCCTTATATCAGAAAGAGATGGCTGATTTTTTGTGGGGCTGGCGATTTTAACAAAGACAGAAAGCTTCCAAGATTTCATACTCACGAGACATATAGAAAGCAATAAGGACAGAGAGAAACTGAATAACCAGCCTAACCAGGTTATTTTCTACGGTAATGGATTTATTTATCTATCCAACAGATTTTTATCACTTTAAACGTTATTTTAATGGATACTCGTGTTTGAGTATTTATTAAACAGCATATTTATTTATTTTCGTCTATCGGCCTGAATATTCGAGTCCTGCTGGAGAGCGCATATTTTTCTTTTATAAGATTTCTCGATTATTCAGGCCGGTAGACGAAAATAAATAAATATGTTGTTTAATAAATAAACAGAGCGTCTACTCAGATATATGTATCCGCTAAAAATAACATTTAAAGTGATAAAAATTTGTCGGATTGATAAAAAAAAATCAATTATCTTAGAAAATTACTTTGTTTACATTTGGATAGGAAACTGAGAAGATGTGAAAAAGTTTCGAAGAATTTAATACGAGAAAGATTTAACTTAAAGGTACGTTTCAAATATGGCTTGATTGGCGAAGCTGCTCCATGGCCGAGACGGTTAGGCTTCTCGGATCTAATCTGCCCAGAAGGACACAGGTTTGAATCCTACCGGAGAGTAAATTTTTTCTTTTTAATAAGATTTCTCGAATATTCAGGCCGTTAGACGAAAAAAAAAATACTAATTAATAAATAAATGGAGCGTCTATTCAAATATGAGTATCCAATAAAAATAACGTTTAAAATGATAAAAATAATCAGATTATGTACATAGATGGTAGAGCAGGGATTAGACAAACATTTCTAAGAGCTAAAAAGGATTAGCAAGTTTTGGAAAGACATGATCGCTAACACCCCGAAGGGATACGGCAAATACATAATGAAGATCGAATGCGGAAGACACTTGAGAAAGGTCGAAAGTTACAGTGGCTTAAGCGTTGTTATAAAATTCATCCGAATTTCCAATAACCTAAAGCAAATCACGACGAATTGTGACTAATTATCAAATTTATCTTCTTACTTTTGCAATTCATTTTGTTGGTGAAGATCGTAATATTGTAATTATTTGTAAATGTTTATTATTACATTGTTTCCTCAATTCACTATAAATTTGTTTAATTTAAAGAAATCGGGTTCTAACTATGCAATGGAAAATATGTATTAAAAAATCTGATGAAAACTAGGGAAAATATCCTAACAGTTTAGGAAGCTGCGGAAAATGTAAGACCGAAATCCGAGGGGGCATTGGAATAGCGAAAATGCCTTCCAAAAGCAAAAGAAAGTATTAAGAAACAGAAAAATTTCGTTAGAAACAAAGAAAAGAATGCTAAACTGCTATGGAATATCAAACCTATATAGCAATGAACACAAGACAATTTCCTCACAGATGAAGACGATTCTTGAGGCAAAATAGACATAGTTCTATAGAAGGTTACTGAGAATACCATGGACGGATCATGTGAGCAACAAGAAAGTTTTAATGAAAATGGAAACAAAAAGAACACTTTACTTAGAATAAGAAAGAGAGTGTCGAAATATCTGGGACACGATAAGGAAGGAAGGTTTGAAAAATTTGATATTTTCAGGTTGTATTGAAGGCAAGAGAAGCAAAGGAAAACAGCGAGTGACCTACCAAAGAAGCTTGTGTATATGATTGGCATGGAGAAGAGACAAATTTGCTTAGGGCTATAAAGAATAGGAAGTTGTGGAGAACTACGACCGCCCACATCCTAAAGAAATATGGCATATAAACGAGAAGGAAGATTCGTACAAACAGCCGAATATATATGTTTAAATAGAAAATATATTCGGCGAAATAAAAACATGCTCAAAACAATGCTCGTGGTTTCACGACTCAACGTCTTTACAGACTGAGCCTCGATCACCGACACTCATCCCTTGAGTAGAACATTTAAGAGAAACTAAACAATACCCATCTTTTAAG